GTTTATAAATGTTCTTGGTGTTTAAACGTAAATGTATATACAGTTGATGCATTCGTGTCTTATAATTCCAGAATCCTATTGTGGTAAACAAGTAGACTATATATTATAGTGAAAACTAGTGTTGTATGTCTATAATTTCAGTATTAGTCTATTTCAGTTTTGACAACTCATTATTATCCAAAAAACAAATTATAGTAATCATATCAAAAATGTAGAAACCTAGTTCAATCTGCACTGTGGCATACAATTTTAAACCCGAATGATTAAACTTTAGTCCTTGGTAATTTCTTTTTCTTAGTTTGAAAATATGGTTTAATTACCAAAAAAATGGGGGAAAAAAAGAATAAAATTTTGGTGAATTGCAAACACAAAAGAAAGGGAACAGCAAATGTTAGTGACATGATGATCAATTTCCAAAAAAAAAAAAAAAAAAAACTTGGGCGGATGGAAGTAGAAGATTAAAGTCAAAAACCATATTATATGGAGATTGGTCACATAAGTGCTCTATAATCACCGTTGTTTTAAGAAATAACGAATTGTCATGAAATATAAAAGCCAAACCCAAATGAATTAAATGGAGCAAGTTGGGGAGGGTACAGCACAAGCGACGATCATGAACCCAAATGAAATTGTGTTTTAGGGTACTGATATTTATAAACTCTGGTTAAGTCATTCTTTTAAATTGTGTTTTGGCTGTTATCGATGAATTACACTAGTAAAACAAAAAAAAAGTTATAGTAAGACAAAAGTTGCTTAAGTTCTTATCATTTAAAAATAATTATTATATTCTATTTTTACCGCACAATACTCCTTCAAATTTTAAGAAGACCAATCAAACTACATGAATAATCCTTCGTTGCCAGCCTGCCACGAAAAAACCTATCAGTCTAATATTGGGACTGTTAATTTTTGGTCCAATGTAATTAATTTAAATTTTATCTCAAGCATACACGTGAATTTGAACATCTTTTCATAGGATTTGCAATTCCGGATTCTCATCCGTCCTAGGAGGTTGTATATGTATATTATTGGTAACTAGAGCGCACATTAAACAACTTTAACATTAAGTACGATGATATTATATGTATATATATATGCTATAAGGAAAAACTAAAAGGAGAGCGGATGAATGTGAACGGAACTAATTAAGAGTGTATTAAGTAGGCTTGTATCCGACAGTCAACTTAAACTTCATAGTTGAAACCAATGAGGAGAAAAAAATTACAATTAATCATAATTATAATCAGCGTGATGGTTAGACGATTTGATATTTAACTTTCTTCGTTATAATTGAGAAATAGTAATATTCGCACTAAATAACATAAATTAAAAAATTACTTTACGTCATAAGATTATCAACTTGCCTCCAAAACCAACAACATGATCCCCTAAGCTACATATTATATGCAGTAAAAAAAATCTTAAAATCACAATTAATTAAAAGTCACTCCGTTATTAGTGTTATAAGCAAAGCTTATTAGTATATTTGACCGTCATTATCGACGACCAAAGAAAGAAAGAGTTACAAGCCACGTAAGTCCAGAACGACGTCTATGAAACCAATAAGACAAAAACCAAAACATCGGTAAAACTATTACGTGGCGGAGACATGTGGGTCTCTTATGTCTCCATAAACTGACATTAGCTTATTTGTCGACTGTACCTTTTGTCCCCCGTCTCGGCTACAACCCTGTGACAAACAAAGATCAAGTCAAAATATCTAACCTAAAGTACTCTCGTCCACGTGGACATCGCTGACGTGGAACTTCTTCCTTCTATAAATACAGGCTTCTCTTGGCCGAATTATACTCATCAAACGAGTAAAACATTTGCTAATATTAAACACTTTTGCTTTTAGAAAAAAACAAACATGGCCGTTGATTCGCCTCTTCAATCTCGGATGGTTTCACCGACGACCTCTGAGAAAGATGTGAAGGCTCTCAAGTTCATTGAGGAGATGACTCGGAATCCTGACTCGGTTCAAGAAAAGGTTCTTGGAGAGATACTAAGTCGTAACTCGAACACCGAATATCTGAAACGGTTCGATATCAATGGGGCCATTGATCGGAATACGTTCAAGAACAAAGTTCCGGTGGTTACGTACGAAGATTTAAAGCCAGAGATTCAACGTATATCCAACGGTGATCGTTCTCCGATCTTGTCTTCTCACCCCATCACCGAGTTTCTCACAAGGTATATTAATTAAGTCAACTTTACCAATGATTAATATCGTTGTTATAAACAAATCAATGATGTGATTTTGATAATGTAAAATTTAAAAATACTTGGCGATTTTTTTTTTTTTTAATACTTATGGAATAATTTTGTATAATTATCTGCAGCTCTGGAACATCTGCTGGTGAGAGGAAATTAATGCCGACAATTGAAGAAGACTTAGACCGACGTCAGCTTTTATACAGTCTTCTCATGCCTGTGATGAATCTGTTAGTATATATACTATAAACATTTATTATATCTATTTTTGTAAAGATTTATTAAATTAACCAAAAAAATGTTTAACTACTATACAGGTACGTGCCGGGATTAGACAAAGGCAAAGGCTTATACTTCTTATTTGTGAAGTCGGAGTCTAAGACGTCAGGTGGGTTACCGGCTCGTCCAGTTCTCACGAGTTACTACAAAAGCGACCACTTCAGGCGGCGACCGTACGATCCGTACAACGTCTACACTAGTCCTAACGAAGCCATCCTCTGCTCCGACTCTTCTCAAAGCATGTATGCTCAAATGCTATGTGGTCTATTAATGCGCCATGAAGTTCTCCGACTAGGCGCCGTGTTTGCTTCAGGTCTCCTCCGTGCCATAAGCTTTCTCCAGAACAATTGGAAGGAACTTGCTCGAGATATCTCAACGGGAACCCTAAGTTCTAGAATCTTCGATCCTACGATTAAAAACCGCATGTCAAAGATTTTGATCAAACCTGATCAAGAACTTGCTGAGTTTTTGATTGGTGTTTGTTCGCAAGAGAATTGGGAAGGGATAATCACAAAGATATGGCCTAACACGAAGTACCTTGATGTGATTGTTACTGGTGCGATGGCTCAGTATATCCCGACGTTGGAGTACTATAGCGGCGGATTACCGATGGCTTGCACAATGTATGCTTCGTCAGAAAGTTACTTCGGGATTAACCTAAAGCCGATGTGTAAACCCTCAGAGGTTTCTTACACAATCATGCCCAACATGGCCTACTTCGAATTTCTCCCACATAATCACGATGGAGATGGAGCAACAGAAGCATCATTAGACGAAACCTCACTTGTAGAGCTAGCTGATGTTGAGGTCGGAAAAGAGTATGAACTCGTGATCACAACCTACGCGGGGCTCTACCGTTACAGAGTTGGCGACATTCTCCGTGTCACGGGGTTCCATAATTCCGCTCCACAGTTCAAATTCATACGAAGAAAGAATGTTTTGTTAAGCATCGAATCCGATAAAACCGACGAGGCTGAGCTACAAAAGGCAGTGGAGAATGCATCGCGGTTGTTTGCAGAGCAAGGAACACGTGTGATCGAGTACACGAGCTACGCAGAAACGAAGACTATACCGGGTCATTACGTAATCTACTGGGAGCTACTTGGTAGAGACCAAAGCAATGCTCTTCCTAGCGAAGAAGTCATGGCTAAGTGCTGTTTGGAGATGGAGGAATCCCTAAACTCGGTTTATAGACAAAGCCGGGTCGCTGATAAATCGATCGGTCCATTGGAGATACGTTTAGTGCAAAACGGTACGTTTGAGGAGCTTATGGACTATGCCATCTCAAGAGGCGCATCGATTAATCAGTATAAGGTCCCGAGGTGCGTGAGCTTCACACCGATCATGGAACTGCTTGACTCTAGAGTTGTGTCTGCTCATTTCAGCCCTTCATTGCCGCACTGGTCACCAGAACGACGACGTTAGATAGAACTTTAAGAAAGATATATCAAACCGATGTTGTGCGGTTTTAGAATATAAAGCTCTGTTTCTGATTCTAAGACTCCCTGTTAAATTCTTATTATGCTGTTGTGTTTAGGGTTTGTGAAGCGTACAATAAAAATTGAAGTACGTACTAATGTTTTTTCCTTTCCAGCTAATAATAACTAGTTTTGGTCCAAAATCCAAATCAGCATTTAATTATTACTATGTGCCCTAATTAAAAAAAAAAAAAACAACAACAACAACAAGAAATGTTAATCAATGTGCCCTAATACTACTTTCATCTTAAAATTTGGAAACTAAAACATATTACGGTGATGTCACGTGAATTTGCTGAAATTCCACTAAACCCAAAATGTTAGTATAGTACGTATTTGGAGGATTTAAGTCTACTCGACTACTCCGGTCAACCAACCGGCCCATTCCAAGTTGAAGCCCAATATCGGTATTGGTAAATAGTTTAATAGATAGACCGGCCCATTTTATGTTGAAGCCCAACATCGGTATTGATAAATAGCTTAATGGATAAAACAACAAATAATAAATGAATTTTGTTTCTTGGTACTATATTCTTAACTGCACCAATCTTACTTTTTTTTTTTTTTTTTTTTTTTTTTTTTCATCTGCACCAATCTTACTTATAATAGCTTTTAAATCGTGTGTATAGGAAAATGGACATTTCTGTGGTCCAAATTTTCAAATAGTCCAATCGCCGAAAACCTGTAATGTTGGTCCTTAAGATGAACATGTAGTTTGATAAGAAGTTTTCCACAATCTAGTCCTCCAATGAATCACTAAATCGAAAATCAAGTTTGATTAGTCCGAAAAAATTATGTGTATACAGTTGAAATTTAAACGTAGGAAAATATGGCAGACTTATGGCTAATTGCCTATAGCCTAGAGAACTTTTTTCAATATGACACTTGTACTACAGTAGTTTTTTTTTTTTTTTTTTTTTTTTTTTTTTAATAGAGGAGCTTAACGGTGGTTTCTTAAAGAATTCTTAACTAAATCTTAGAGCAAAAATAAATGAGAAAGCATGTATAATACTAAGAAACGTTCTTAGTTAAGAGCTAAAATTAAGACTAAGAGGCGTCCACGTGTCGTTTCTTTCTTTCTCCCCCTCTCTCTCTCAAACGCGAAACAGAGAATCCTTCGACGATTTCGGGAAATCGACGATTCCGGGAAATTGACGATGAATCGGAGGAATCTCCGATATGAGTGAACACCGGCCGTCGTTCTTCCGTGGTCATTGATTGCTTCTCAGGCGTTGGTGGTTACCCTATTCAATTTGCTAAAGTGTAAACCTTTTTCTTTCCTCTCTCTCAAAATCAAGAAGTGTGATCTTAATGGGTGTGTGACATGTTTTCTAAATCAAGAAGTGCAATCTTTTTTTTTATAGATGTTCTTCTGTTGTTGCTATTGACATTGATCCGGTGAAAGTTGAATTGGCTATGAACAATGCTATGGTTTATGGAGTTGCTAATCGTGTAGATTTTATCATTGGTGATTTCATTCAATTAGCTCCGTCTCTTAAAGTAAATCTTTTTCTTTCTCTCTATCAGTTTTATATATCTGCAAGTGTGAAGATTTCTTTTGACCCTTTTGTTGTTGTTGTTGTGATTCAAATTTTGAATTGTCTTCTATCTTAATTTCTTGCATTTTCCCGATGGGAAGTGAAAGGTTCGATCGCTTGTCTTGCTTATTTAGTCATGATGTTTTTGTGGCTACGCCTTGTGGTGATCTTGGCATAGTCACACCTAGTGGAGTTTAAATCTTGCATTGTTTATATTTATTTGCATAGAAAAAGCCTAAATCTTGAAATGTTCTCTCAATGGAAGGTTAGATGGCTGATGAGAGTGAGAGATATACATGGTTATTGGTTGGCCTACGGTGCAAGAAGAGTTCTACAATTCTAATCATCCATTATGAGCGAAGTTGTTCGGATTTTCTCGGGGATGTTTGTTTCAGATCTTCGTAACTCTTAGCTACACAAAGATCTTGTTTTTTTTATCCTATTCTTGGACACAAAATTGATAGTGTTTATGTTCTTGTCCCTTGCAGAAATTTAAAGGTCTTGATGCAGACGCAAAGTTTGAGTTTGCAAAGAGGAAACTTCAAGAGAGCGGTGCTTAAACCTTTGTAAAAGGAGCAAACGATCTATAAATTAATTCTTTTATGTATGTGTGTAAACTTAAACCTTTGTAATGTAAAGCTCGAAGCTTGTCTAAACATGGCTTCTATTAGTTAATGAGCGGTGCTTTGATATCGTCGTTGTTTATGCAGATGCTCTGACCGGAGCAGTCACCACTCCGCTTGATGTTATTAAGACAAGATTAATGGTTCAGGGAATAATAGTATCCTCACACTTTAGAAGTCTCCTTTTGTATCTCCAAAATCCAATCATCTTATTGCCCTTCTTTGACATTTTTCAGGGATCAGCCAAACAATATCAAAGAATCGTTGACTGTGTTCAAACAATTGTAAGGGAGGAAGGAGTTCCTGCTCTCTTAAAGGTACACACACACGCACAACTTCAAAGTTTCGAGTAGAATCCTATAGAAAGTCAATTGTAAACTGAGCAGGTTTAAGAGTAGAGTTCTTACACGAGATTTGACTTATAGGGTATTGGGCCAAGAGTGTTGTGGATAGGTATTGGAGGTTCAATCTTCTTTGGTGTCCTCGAGAGCACTAAGAGAACACTTGCACAGAGACGTCCCAATACGGTTAAAGAAACCAAAGTGGGTTCCCAATACGTTATCTAACGAGCACAGCGAACTTTGGTCGTAATTCATTTTTAATTCAGACTTTGTTGCTCAATTTAGATGTTGAACTTCAATCGTCAAATGTCAGTTGTATTATATTTAGAAAGCATGGGTTCCGAATCTAAATAATTCACAAGATAAAAATGAAAAATATGTGTGATCACAAACTACAAAGAAATCACGGGTGAATTTCACTTATTCTACATAAATGCCTTCAAATCTCGTCGATATGATGACAACTAATACTTGAATTCGTAATCGAGGTATGCATCAACAATTAAATAAGGATTTGGTCGAGCATGTATGGATAAAATATTCCAAAAAGCAAGTTTAAAACAATTGTGTTATATGTTATTTATGTTATAAATTGTATCTCATGTATGTTTTAATTTTTTTAATTTGCAACAATTATTAAATTTTCTATAATTATAAATTTTATTTTTATATTAATATTTTTTTTTCTAAGAACCATATGTTAAGAGCCTACCATTAAACACACAAAAAATCTTAACCCAAAAATACAATCTCTTAACTATCACTTTTACAAATTTATTACTTAAATATTTCTAAAAACCATTATTAAGAGCTCATTGATAATCATGCTCTTAGAGTTACAACAGGAGCTTTCAGATGAAGGAAATAACCTACAAAGGAAAGAACAGTTTACAAAATTCTCTATTGGTTGTACTAAAGTTTTGTTAGTCAATATTCTTCTATAATTACTATATTCAACATATTGGCATATTTTTAACGTGTAGACGATATTTTTCCAAATCAACATTCTTCACCAACTGAATATTAAAATCAAGGTAAATATAAATGGTTTTTAAAACTATATTAAGCATTGAAAATACACACTAGTGTTCCAATTTTAAAACTCTCTACTTGTAAAAATAAAGCTGAATCCAAATAATGACATACCTACTGTAAATGTAATGATTAAACTATATATATATATATATATATATATATATATCTGGTTAATTTCCTTTATTATTGTTTCTGTTAATATATTCTGGATTAGAAAAAATCGTTAGACATACACATGTTTAAAATGTTTTTAGTTTGTTTTACTTACATAACAAAAAAAAAAATGATTTTCTCGAAATGAATAGTTCTTAGGATGTAAATAATTAGTCAAAAATCTTATCAAACTATACGGATCAACACATATGCCCAAAAGATAACATCAAAAGTTATCGTTAACGAATTTGAACCAGAATAAGAAGAGCACAAAGAAAAACAACGCACAGATGCTTAGTTTAGCATATGTGATAATGTGAACAAAACAAGGCCCCACAAGAGGAATCAAAATTTTCTTGGTATGGCATATCAGGGAAACCACACTAACTAAATTATTTTTACACTTTGAACATGTTGAATGATTTTGTTTTGTTTTGAAATGTTAATATAGATAGCAAAATATTATGAGTATTTTTATAAGAAATTATATACAAAAAAGAACATTAAAAATGACCTAAAACAATAGGGTGAGTCTAAGTCGTATTATTTTTAGGAAAATTTGTATTGATATTTTTAGCTTATTTACAATATTGATTTTTTTATTTAAAATATTTGTACTTTTTTTTTTTGATAAAACTAAAAAATCCTCTCTTTTTTTCTTTTGCAATGTCTCCATTTGACTTAACAACACCTTAAATTTTTAATAGAATGTAACTTAACCAAACTCTTGTGACTTAAATTAAATTTCTTTTGGAAACGAAGCTAAAACTTTATAAGTTATGCTGGATAAACGATTGGAAAACATTGAATTAAACTAATTGACCAGAAGAAAGAGTAAATTAAACTGAGATGACAAAAACGGTGAATTAAAAAAAGACTAATAAGATTAAAGTAATTGACCACCTCTACTAAAGTCTAAAACTACTACTAGTGGCAATTTTTAAGCATTTATATCAACGTGAATTTACGTGCATAATGGCTTTTGGCTCAAAGAAGGAAAAAACATTAAAAAAAAAATACAGGATGTTCGTACATGTGCAATCGCAACGTGAACAATAACTACTGGACGATGGGCTATATTGTATTATACATGAGTAGATTATTTTAATATATCAGTTAGGATATTAATTGATTGTATAAATATCAGCTGTCCTATACAGAGTGAAATAAGACTGAAAACCTTTTCACATTTTTGGCATGAGCTCCATACGCGATCAAGACAAACTTCTTTTTGCTTTTCTTGTGTCTTTTTTTTTTGTTGTTGTTATAAATGTCTTTTAATCTTATAAAAGGTTTACCAACAATTTGTGGTCCTATCTTTCTTAACCCAGCTTATCTTCGCTAATTCAAAGTTGTCACGTTGTCTATTTGATTTAATACTTATTTCGAGTAAACGCAAAAGTATCCTATGGAAAATATCTTCTAACACTCGCAATAAATAAAAGGGTGAAAGGAAAAAAAGAGTATAAACTTCAATATTATAAATTTTAATGAACACGTATATATATATTAAAACCGTTTCACACCATGCACGACTGTTTCCATTCAAGGTCTATATATAGTTTCCTCGAGGCCATAAGGCCACAACCAAAACTCCTTAGAGAAAAAAGAAAGGTCAAATATGTTTTACTATGTGATTGTTCTCCCTTTAGCTCTATTTCTTTTGGCTTACAAATTATTCTTCACCTCCAAATCGCAGCGTTTCAACCTCCCTCCCTCTCCACCTTATTCTCTCCCAATTCTCGGCCACCACCACCTCCTAAAACCGCCGGTCCACCGTCACTTCCACCGCCTTTCCAAAATACACGGCCCAATCTTCTCCCTCCAATTTGGCTCCCGCCGTGCCGTCGTAATCTCCTCCTCCTCACTCGCAACACAATGCTTCACAGGCCAAAACGACATCATTTTATCAAACCGGCCTTGTTTCCTAACCGCTAAATATGTTGCTTACAACTACACAACTGTTGGAACCGCGCCTTATGGGGACCACTGGCGTAACCTCCGCCGCATTTGCTCCCTGGAAATCCTCTCCTCGAACCGTCTCACAAACTTCCTCCACATCCGCAAAGACGAAATCCGCCGCATGCTCACGAGACTTTCACGTGACGTCAACAAAGAGATCGAGCTCGAGCCGCTCTTGTCCGATCTAACGTTCAACAACATCGTGAGGATGGTTACAGGGAAGAGATACTACGGCGACGAAGTCCATAACGAAGAAGAGGCGAATGTTTTCAAGAAACTGGTCGCCGATATCAACGACTGTAGCGGCGCGAGGCATCCCGGAGATTACTTACCCTTCATGAAGATGTTCGGAGGGAGCTTTGAGAAGAAAGTGAAAGCTCTTGCGGAATCCATGGACGAGATCTTGCAGCGTTTGCTTGAAGAGTGTAGGAGAGATAAAGACGGTAACACTATGGTTAATCATTTGCTCTCTCTCCAACAACATGAACCAGAGTATTACACTGACGTCACTATCAAAGGCCTAATGCTGGTAAGAAATATGAGTTTATGCAAATTTGTGTTAATAGTATATAATCTAGGCTTGCTCATATTTTTTTGTTGTTGTTCAATTTGTTAGGTTTCAGTCGGTTTTTTTTTTTTTTTTTTGGTTTTCAGACCTTGTGGTTCACAAATATAGAAACCAGTTTGGTTTTAAGAGTTTTTATAATTTGGATTTGAAATTTTCACAAAAATTATCTTAATTAATTAATTTAAACGATTTCCAAAATCTATATCGAGTTATTTTAATGGTAGTTGGGTACAGCTATAAAATTTAAAATCGAATAGGTCTATATTACTTTATTCCATTTCGGGCATAGACGATTTGATTTGAGATCAGTTGTTGTACCGAATTGGTATCCATAGACCATACGGAATAGTCAACACCGGTATTGTTGGTCTTGAAAAATTATTTCAGAGGAATTTGGGACCCATGCGTCTGTCTACAGTTACGGACAATCATTTATTCCTAGAAAGTAGAAACAATTCTGATTATTCCTGGTAAATAGTAATAAGTAGAAACAATTCCAATCTCACATTGTTTTTTAAAATCGATAATTTTTTTTTTAATACAGTTTTGACTTTAAAATCGATTTTGTTTTTGGTATAGTTTCACATTGATACGGTTCTGGCTTAATAAATAAGATAATTATGCATGCATGAAAGGGCATGATGATCGCCGGAACAGATACTTCTGCCGTGACGCTGGAGTGGGCGATGTCGAGTTTGCTAAATCATCCAGAGTCTTTGGAAAAAGCGAAACTAGAGATTGACGAGAAAATCGGACAAGAACGTTTGATCGACGAACCAGACATCGCAAACTTGCCTTACCTTCAAAACATAGTGTTGGAAACATTCCGGTTATACCCGGCGGCGCCGCTTCTAGTACCAAGATCACCGTCGGAGGATATTAAAGTTGGAGGATACGACGTGCCACGTGGAACGATGGTGATGGTTAATGCCTGGGCTATACATAGGAATCCAGAGCTCTGGAACGAACCAGAGAAGTTTAAACCAGAGAGGTTTAACGACGGAGAAGGAGGAGGAGAAGACGTTCATAAGCTGATGCCGTTTGGGAATGGACGGAGATCGTGTCCCGGCGCCGGATTAGGGCAGAAGATCGTGACGTTGGCGTTAGGCTCGTTGATTCAATGCTTTGACTGGGAAAAAGTCAACGGCGAAGCAGTCGATATGAGGGAGACTCCGGGTATGGCGATGCGTAAGAAAGTGCCTTTATGGGCTTTGTGTCAATCTCGGCCCATAATGAATAAGCTTCAGGCCCATTTGAAAGGTTAGCTTTTTTTAAAATATCTTTGTACTTTTTTTGTTTTTTTTTTTAATACAAGAAGGTTCCTGGCCAAAGAACGTAATCCTTCCAGACCCGAAACCATATTATGTAATATTAGTTTCGTTCCAAACGTTACTTGAACCGTCGATCTCTAAAGTTGTTTGCCTAGAATTTTTACCGGTTAAGCTAACGATACCAAGAGACGTGAGATTTTGTTGCGTTTGTGTAACGAAGGATATGTGTGTAATTCGAACAAATGGAATTCTATGTTTTGCCTATATAATATTTAATGGTTTCTAGCGGGATGATAAAGGAGGTTTTAGATCAATTTTTCATGTCAGAGTCACTTACTTCCA